TTCTTGGGTTTTTTTCGCGCCTTTTCTCCGAGATGCTACCCTTCAATTGGTAGCTCCATACTTCTGGTTCATGGAGCCCCTTCGCTATTAGTTTTGGACATAGGTAAACAAACAAGATGGACTGGCTGGTCAAAACTTCAATGTACAAGGTGCCGAAAATAGCACTTTTTAAGTCTCATTCATTTCTCCCAAAATAATACAAATGCCTCTATATTTTTAGCTCACGGATGAAAACGATTGATCGAATGGGTCCTAGAATGACATCGCCTAGATATTGCACTGAAAACTATCTTGAGATATTAGTATGACCTAAAGCGTCGTTTCTTGTTGACAAAATTTGGTTTTTTAGATTTTAAGAAACGTTTTGTTGCTATCGTTGTTTTAACAACAATTTTTCAGTATGGTCTTAGAAAAGTAGGACAGAACACACATCTGGGTTGGGCTGGTGCTTACCTAAAATCCTTCGTAACCATACATCCAAAATGCGGAAAAGTTTTTCATCAACAATTAAGGAATGAGAAATGCGTTGGCGGATTCAATTTGTTTCGACGTCAAATCATTAATTTGACATCTAAATAACGCAAATCAAATGATTCGTCCAACGATTAATCAACGGGTTGAGGAAGAGGCGGTCTCTTTGATTGCGGCAGTGAATTGGGCAGGAACCAATATCTGTATCCGTTCAGCAGGAGGTGGAAACTTTGACGAGTGAGTGGGGTGGGAACTCTTCGCTTTGAAATAACCACCGGGAAATGTGGGCACGATTCTACATAATGTTGCCAACTTAAGCTAGATTTTGACTTTTTTCAGGCAGTTTTCAACAAAAATACTTGCCCAAATGATCTACCATTTTTTATGGCAATTTTTTCAATGGGGTCGCATTTTGCAAAAAGGGACCAGCGCGATAATAGTGTTTTCGAAATCGAACAACTACTCCTTTTCTTTCAAAAATACCTCATGTATGTACTCTATTCAAATCCAAACTATTGTTTTCCTTTCAAATTAACAATTTTTTGGTGGGAAGCCAAAACGACTTGCTATTCAGGGAAATTTTTTAGATAATTATGAAGGAACAACTTTTTTCAACACTGTGATTACGCTGGTTCCAGTTTGCCAAATGCGATCTAATGAATGTTTGCCAGGCTCGGACTGGCCTTAAGGCCAATCTGCCATCGGCTGATACGCCCCCTTGACGCGCCGAAAACGCGCCCCTGTGACAGATAGCAAAATATAAGAAGAGAAAAAAAATTACGACCGAGAATATATGCGGAAAATTTCTTGAATGAACGGAAGAAGAGAGAGTTAGGCGTAAAGAAAGGTGCTTTTACGCATGACTAACTATTCGCGCAAAATGGATTTCCACATTGCATATGAAAAATTTAAGACGCGATGGCGTGAGACGTGAACTTGCAATGTTCTGCTCTATAAGACAAACGCAAACAAACACAATGTGGAAATTAGTCGAGAGAAAGGATCCGCGTTTACGACGGCGCAGAGATACAACTATTCGTACTTGATGGACGTCCGTGCTGCATCTGAAAAATTGAAGGCGCGATAACGTGAACCGTGAGCTCTCAATGCTCTGCTACATGCTGTCAATGAGGTGTCTCTCAGATTCGGGAGAAAAGTTAAAAAAGAAGCCCGAATACGTGTTTCCTGTCTACGGCTGTGTAGATACTCGTTCTTTCTTCTTTCTTTAGGTTCTTGTCTGATACTTTTTAGGATGGATTTGCAGACCCACGTCCTAAGCTAGAGTAAACCGCAGCACTGGCTCGGTTCTATTGGAAATAATGGTGCTTGGACGCGTCTAGTGGCTTTAATTTTTTATGTTTTCTTTAATTTCAGATGTCTGTCCGTTACTTCAATATGTTCAATTTTACAATTTTTACTCTGTACGATTAAGAAATTTTAAACCTAAAAATAGCGTAAACTTGTGCTGCTATGCCAAAATTTTCTGAACCCCTCTCCACGTAGGGAATGCCCTACCAGGAGATATCGCATTACGCCCCTTTAACCAGGGTCTACGCCCTTAGATGCAAGCCAGTTCGACCCTGATCTTCGCATTATGAATTCGGAACATGCAAGTCTCATCCGCAGCCGGCAAGAGAGCTGTAGGGATTTGCAGCATCGCAAAGCTCCTGTCACGGTTCAATTTTAGAATTCTTATTCATGAAAATTTTTCCTCAAAAATATTTTCACCTTATCTTCACTCGCTGAGACGGTTTATCAAATAGATCTATCTTTTACTTAGAAAAAATATGGTAGGATTGAAAGTTTGTAGACAGCATTATTAGAAAGAAGCATTTTCACAGCCGATATCGACCAATATTCTTCGGTAAAAAATTTCAGAGTGAGAAATGAAGGAGACTGATGAGCGAATTAAGTAAGATTTTGTGATCTCGAGAAAGACGTGTTCAAAGTTAGAAAATTTCGTGACGGATTATATGATTTACACGAACTTTTATCATGGGTAAAGAGATACCTTTAAAGTTAAGTTTTCTCAAAAATGTATCCTGAGACATATTTCACTCAAAATAATTCGTGTCTCAATTTTTTCCCCCCGAAAATGCCCTTTAACTTATTCATCTGAATTGCCTTTTGCCTACAAATTCTGATCCGGAATATATTCTTTGGCGGGGCGCACTGCACACCCACTTCTTCAAAATTAAATGTGTCTCTTGCTCGATATTCGACGACTGTGCGGAGGAGCCAACTGGCACGAATATTTGGAGTGATGAAATTGATGGTGATCGCTTTGCCATCTTTTTTTTTTTTATTTCATACTTGTAAGCATACTTGGCCAATTTACTTCAGGAACTTTTGATAAATTATCAGGTTTTCGATGCGATGTCAGCCAGAAAGTTGTTATATACTTCAAAACGAGTAAATTTTACCTCAAAACTTAGGAAAACTACACTGGTATATCCCTTATCATATACGATTTCTGACTTTTCTTACGCTGCAAAATACCGCAGCTGGGTATAGTGCTCGTCATGGCAAAGTTGGGAGAAATAAATGACGTTCGTGATGACGAGTTTTAATGTCGTTTTTCATTAGCCCGTTCAATTAGTCGTTTATCGTGTCCGATAAAACGGAAGCACGATCTTGAAAATGCGCAATCCTGTAGGACTAAAAATTCTCTTACAACCTCATGAATTACGATGAAATGGAACGGTCATTGACGCCACTCCTAGCCCTCTCATTGGTTGTAACACGGTTTTGGATCAACGAATTTGATCGCATAACATGTTATAAGATCAAATTAGGGGAACACTTGAGGACCTCGGTCCTCAGTGCGTGTATCTAAAAACGATATTTATGTTTTCAAAACATTTAGTAAAGTACAATAATAGCCTTTTTCAGCATGAGTAATGGAAAAAAATAGAATATACTTTGCAAAGCGATTCGCACCCTATTTCACAAATTCGACCGCTGCGCTGCCTGTCTAATTTGAATCGATTGCAAAAAATTCCCATAAGAATTGATCTGAACGCAAATGATTGCTATTATTCTTGGGTTTTTTTTTAAATTTTAATAATAGCACCTGGACAACCCGCAAAACATTTCAATTGCAGTTTCATACCTTAAAGCCGCATTTAGGTTAAAAAACGACATTTGTCTCGGAAAAAAACAACGAAAAAAGGTCATTTTCGGCTTTCATGTCGGATTTTTGACGGCATAATGAATCTCACTGACGAGATTAAATACCCAGCCAGAATAATGTGCTTCCTTAATTTAGACTTGATAATGCTGAAACGATATGTGTACCAATGAATTTTAAATCAAAAGGGACAATGAGATATTCAAATCATACGCACATACGTACTTTTGCTGTAATTAATTTGCGTTCATATAGCTTCTTTTAGCATAAATACGCTTAAATATGGACGTGCTTTTGTTTTAAAAAAAACCGCCGGGATCACAGAAAAAGCCCGATTTTGGCACTTGACACTTCATTTTCTCTACATCTGCCATTGACGACATTTAAATCAGGCTACCGCTAACTTTGGTACAAACAGAACGTAATACGCACGGTCCTCGTGATAATTTAGAGGCTGGATTGCAAAATCACTTGCTTAACTCTTTCATCCACATTCTTATGATTAAGTACGTCAGCGATACTCCACTTCTTATTGGAGCGCAGATGACAGACCCACAGGAACGCGAGTGATACGTAAAAAGTGCGTCAAAAGTACGGAAAAACCCAGTTTGAAATATTGGACTTCAGGCCCTTTCAAAAGCACTGATTCAATTGCTGAAAAAGTCCAAAACTTTGATTTGCATAACTTCCGTTTTCCTTCTTTTTCTCTTTACCCGTCTCTGTCTCTTTTTTTACACACGGAAAAAATAACTTAGCGCTGAGCTCTAACACTTGAGGTAAAATAGCGCCAACTACAGTCACTATTGCTGAGCCCTACAGCTTTACAAGGTAGGGCTGGACTTTTGCCCGTAAAAGAGAATGTTCAGGTGTCTGAAATGTGATGAGTTCCGTGTTTAAGTGGAAACTACTGAGTGAACTAGACACGAGGATACCCATGGTTCATGAATTGAACATTTATTGGAGAAGATGTGACAAAATGATCTAATCTTTTAAAATACGTGTGTTTAAATGGGAAATGCCGCCAGATGACGTCACTAGGCGGTGCATTTTCTCATTTTCAAATCTATTTCTATACTATTTCCCATAACAGGAAAAAATTATATAAATACTGTAAAATTAGCTCTTTAAGCACTTTAAGATGAGGCAATAAAAATTTTGCATGCAAATTCTCCATGGGCGCTATTTTACCTGAATCGTCAAAGCTCAGTGTTAAGTTGTTTTTTCCGTGAGCTTTTCTTCTCATCAACCGGCCCTTTGGCCGACTAGCCCACTGGTAAAAGTTCCGGTAGCCCCATGTGGCCAGTCCGGGCCTGAACTATGCCGAACTATCAGCAAGTATGGCGAATATTAGCAGCCGGGACCGGAAATCTCGGCTCGGAGTAGAGGAAATGTATCTCACCTGGTGACGACAGGAACAAGTGTCCAATCGTATCCATCGAGAACTTTGGTGACGGCTTGATTGATTTCAGCATTATCGAGCTGCGTCGTTTTCCCACCACTTCTACAGCTTGCAACCCCAGTCCCTGGCACAGCACTTGAGGTGATGGTCACAATCGGACGACCCGTGTTCCCGAGCCGATCACTTTCCGCCATTGTCACAAAATTCAACAAAACTATTATTTCCGGCTCCGCTTCAGCTCGAAAAATCACTTTCGGCTACAAGCCCACTGGAGGACCGCGACTGTGTGAGTCTCACGGGACATTATTTTCATATTTCGCGTTGCTCATACATTTATTTGAAATAATTTATATTTCAAACTGCGGACGTCCGGTTTGAGTCTTTTCATCTCATTTATAACAAACTGCTTCAAAACCACAGGACAAAAGGAAAATTTATTGAAAATCACTCGCCTTTTAAGTAATACCGAGAGGCTTGATTTTCGATCAGGCGCTTCCTTCGCATACCCTTCGATTCTAAATTGTTCTAAGAGCACATTTTGTTTTTCGTTAGCTTTATGCTAAAAATATGTGATTATTAAACTCGACACAAAATGGATATTTTTCTTTGAATACGCGGTCACGCAACCCTTAATCCTCACAAGAAGGCGATTTATCAACTTTTATGATGTTTAAATCCGTACGTACGAATGTTGCTGAAAGTCTTCAAATTAAGCTATTGTTATGTATCCAAAACGATCGCTGTATATTTTATAAACCGAAGACAATAGTATAATTCTTTCCTTGGTTTTGACACAAAAATCAGTTGGGAGGAAACTTCATACTGTCAGTGCAATTAAGTATCCTTGAGTCAATTAATTGGGGGCTGCTTGCTTAAAATCCTTTGGATAAAGCTTCTATCATACTTAAAGATACCACTTCTTCTTGGTGGTAAATTATGCCTCCGTTCTCAAAGCACTTGTCACGCGAGAATCACAAACAACGTCCATCAAACGAAAAAATTGTCACGACCACTTTTTGAACAACATACAGTCTGATCTAAAAGTTCAAACCGGAAGTTGGTTGACACTAAGTTTGCTAACTGCACTTCAGGGGCCACAAAAATTAAAAAACAAGTTAAATCACTAAATTAATACTGAAAAGGTACAAAAGCTCATCGAATCGGACAACTAGCGCAAAGGCTATCGGCTCCAAGAAGGGTGGTAGAGGGTGTTTCTATACGCTTCAATTTTAAAAAGCGTTCGCGAATGCGCGCAAATTCGTCGAGGAAACGTGGAGTAAAATTTCGGAGTTGGACGTGACTTAAGGCACTGCGGCAAACGCGGAATGTTGCCTCTGCGTTTCGGCTTTGGACCCGACAGAGAAGATGGGAAAAAGGCGGAGCTTACGGGCTCCATTCATGAAGAAGGGCTCCTCGCCGCAACTTCGGGAATCTCCGGGGATTTTCGAGTGGGGCGGAAACCGGTACATTATTTTGACTACATTTTTCCACCCTTTCAGAGCAGCTTCGCCCACTGCGGTGTGAATACATTTTATCCGTTGTTGTCAAACCGAGCAGTTTTTCTGTCGCGCTGCTCATTTGTACTACAACGTAAGAATTTCCACCGGGTAAATTTTTTTTCAAGGTTTGATGCGAGAATGTCTCACTGAAAGGAAGGGCTTATCTTCAAATTAAGAGGGGTACGATACATGCACGCAATTTGCATTAATCTGCGATTAATACAATCATTAGACGCGATCGAATGCGATTATTAAGAAACTAAGTTTTTCTATTTTTCCTTGAGAACTTAAAATTCAAAGAAAATGTGCCGTTGAAAAAAGCGTTTACTTCACATTTTATAACGGCGTAGTCCTAGCCAATCGCTCATAAATCGTATATTTCTACGGCCACCTCGAAAAATTCCCAGGTACTTCTCTTGAAGAAAAGTAAACATGCTTTTCTTAGATTGTTAAAGCTGTCGCAAATTCCAGACACATTACAAAACCAAAAAGGTGTTTTACGTGCAACTTAACAGAAAAAGGAGATCAAGGGAACAATTTTTTCTTTCTCAAAAAATTGCTCTGTTTCAGTCAATATTCCTTTCATTTCTTCAATTTAGTATTGCTTTCAGTTTTTTTGTAGCGACCGCGGCCCTTTTTGCATACTTTTAATTTAAAACATTCATTTTGATTGTGATTGGTTCCAGGAAAGCAACGAGAACTTAAGCAAACTAGACAGAGCAGAAAAGTTAAATTTTCTGCTGAGAACTCTTTTTTAAAATTTTTCTTCTTCGTCCCCCTTCCTGAACACAAAAGGAGCAATTTTTTCAAAGAAAGAATCCGAGTGAAAAGTTTGTGAACCCCATCAGATTTTCTCTTCGTAAAATCAATTCAGAGAATGGAACCAAGTGCATATGCGATGATGTTTATGGAGTTCTGTCAAACAACTAACGAGCAAGTTTCTTGTTTTTCAGATCACTTGGTTCCTTTTTGGTGAATTCGACTCTTTTTCAAAATTGCAGTTCCTTGGTTAAACATTTTTCGGCAACATCCGCATCCTGACAGTCTTCGCCACATGAGCTGAGGTTCTCGATAACGGCTGTCGATTTTGGTGGTGTGAGTAACTAACTAAAAACTCAGTACACTATAGCGAGCTTTTGGGAGCTCTGCCGAGTCTCGCCAGCTGGCATAAAGAACCTTGGTTGTCACTGCAAAACTTTTCAGGATATGCATATTGCCGAAAAATATTTTACCGTGTGCTTTGATCGTTCTTAGGTTAACTCAATAGATTATATAATATAACTCAGTGCTTTACTCCACCAGGGTCGAATTTGCCAATAGTTTATGGGAAGCTTATAGCCTTAAGGCGCAAAAGTTTTGAGTATTCCAAAACGGTATTTTAAATCTTCGAGTTATTTGTCACTTCTTACTTTTCAAAACCAGCTTTTCCTGGCGATAAATGGTTCGCAACTGAGCACTTAAACAGAGGCAGATTTAGACATTTCGAACGGAGGGGTGGGAAGGAAGGTTGGGGGTGGAAGGTATGCTCCTCCGGGAAATAGTCGACTTTTTAAACCATCCGATTTGCAATTTGAGGCAATATCTTCATGAATAATTACTAAATGTAAACGTCTTTCCTTCTTCTTTCATCCGTCCTTTCATTCTTTCATCCTCCTTTTATATTCGGGCAAACGAAGAGGAGAGGGCGCAGCCCCCCCCCCCNTCGATCCGCCTATAACCTTAAAATCATTTGAAATCTTTTTTTTTTTTCGTTTTTTTTAAAGTGAATTTGAACTATTTTCCAATCACGTAAAATGTTCCTTCTGGTCCACGATGGCATCTACTTTACGAGGCGCCAATCAAAGTTCAGCCTGGAGGCGCTAAAAATGTAGATGCAATCCTGCTGGCCGATCATTGAAATTTTGTGTTAATCGGGCGGATTGAGGAGACAAAGGTAAAATGGCATAGTGTGATTGGTCGACCATGTCTTATCGCTGCTATGTCGTGCCCGCATATCGGCAGAATTGACGATATTCTGTCGGAAACTCAAGAGGCGCCTTTCCTTTAGCTTGTAGTCAATTCTACCCGACATTGGCAGCGATACGACGAAGCCGGCCGATCACACTCCGCCATTTCACCTTTGTCATCTATGTCCAAACAAAAAATTTCAATAATCGGCCTGGAGTGCTCGTCAACTTTTCCAGTGAATGCCGCGGAAAGAAGGGCCCGAATCGAAGCCGGAAGACCCACCTGGAACGTGGAAGCGTTTCCTGATTGCCGCGGTACTCCGTTTGTAGGCGTATGGCCCGCGCCGGGCCGCGGAGATCGCACAAGACGTGAAACAACAAATTGATGGGCGATGCACCCCGGTCTGATTCTCATTAACACCGGCCGGATCGCGGCGCAGCACGGCGCGGCGTCCTTTGAGAGACGCTTTAATTGGAGCTTCATGCGGCTCGGCCCGCCTACCACCCTCGCTTCAAATGGCCCTTGACCCTCTCACATGGGGTGCCACCGCGCTAAGCCACTCGCGCCCCGCATCCTTCCATTTCCACCTCGTCCTCACTCCTCATCTTCAAACCGCGGTGCTTTCCTTTTGCCGATCTCGTGTGCAACACTCTAACACCCCCTCCCCTCCAACCCCCTCGATCTGTCAATTTTACCACCTAGCCGCACTGATTTAACTGATAGACAAAGCGGTAGACAGAAACAGCAGTCTGATCGTTGAAATTTTGTGTTTTTCGTGTCGACATACATGACATAGGTTGAAAGGCGGAACGTGATTGGTCGGCTATGTCTTATCGCTGCTTTGTTGTGTCTATGTCGGGTTGAACTCACGACAAGCAACTAAGCTCTTAAGTTTCCGACAATATGTCGTCTATTCCACCTGACAGAGGTACGATAAAGCAGCGATAAGACATAGCTCAACAGCTAAGACAACTCAATCACGCTCCGCCTTTAAACCTATGTCATCTATGTCGACATGACAAACACAAAATTTCAACAATCAAGCTGCTGGGCCGGATTCTTCAAGAGCCTACATTGACGATAGCGTAAGGGCGCAACATTTCTGAGAATTCTAAATCGAAAGTATCCATGCTTCATTCGTAACGTATATATTTCTAAAACCAGCTTTTTTATGGCACTAAACTTTTCGCCACTGGGCACCTCGAAATAGTTTAAAATTATGTTTTTTGAAGGTGAATTTGAACTATTTTCCTAATTTAACTCATTTTTTCCGGTCGAGGGAGGAGGGTTGTGTCTCGGACATCCCCCCCCCTCCACGAAAGCACTTACTTCTAGAGTTGCCAGAGAAAGTTTAGCCGAGGGGTACTAAAAATGTAAACCCGGCACTGAACAGAGAAGATAAAAGGAAAGTTGAGCGATCCTACCGGTAAAAGGAGGTGACTGCAATGGACAAAAGAGATAAGTAATAGACTGTAACTAAATGCAACCCAAGAGAGACCGCCGGCCAGTCCCTCAGTTTCCTCTTTAGTCCATAAAAACCACCTCTTTCAACCAATAAGGAATCATTGCATTTTTCTCTTCCCTTCTTTGTCCATAGCTTGGTCCATTAATTTCAGTAATCAGCCCGCTAATCTACCCCATCCATGGAATTCGAGATTCAGGAGTGGTGCAAAATGGTGCGAATGGTAAGTAAAGAGAGTCTGACCATCCGCTCAAGTGTAAGGGACCTTATTCCACGGAGGCAATTTTTTTGGTAGAGCATTTTTGTCACGTTCGGCCAAAAATTTGAATTTTAAGATGTTTACAGCAAATACTCTCAGGTGTCCCAAAAAATAAATTGGCAAGAGGAATTGAATCAAAATGGCATTTCAAGTGTATTCAGTATTTTTCGTCCTCTTGTTCACTAAAAATGAAATAAAAAATTGAAGAAGAAACACCATAAATTCTCTTGATTTCTTGGACTGGCAGTAATTTTTCCCACGTTCTTTTTCAATGACCCCATTTTATCAACTTTATAATAATTGAGTAGAGTGTTGGT